AATCTCAGTTATAACAATGTGATAGAATCCAATATCCTTGACTAACGGTCTTAATATCTAGTTATAACAATGGGATAGAATCCAGTATCCTTGACTAACGGTCTTAATATCTAGTTATAACAATGGGATAGAATCCAGTATCCTTGACTAACGATCTCAATATCTAGTTATAACAATGGGCTAGAATCCAATATCCTTGACTAACGATCTCAATATCTAGTTATAACAATGGGCTAGAATCCGATACCCTTGATTAATATTTGCACTTCCAGTTACGACACTAGATGTTAATCTGATATCCCTGATTAATGGTTTCACTACCAGCTGTAACAATGGTTCAGAACCTGACTATTGGTATCAATATCCAGTTATAACAATGGATTGCAATCTGATGCCCTTGAGTAACAGTTTAACTTCTAGTTATAACAATGGACTAGAACCTGATACCCTTTATTAAGAGTTGCAATTCCAGTTATAACATTGAAGATGGTTTGAAACATGATGTATGATGATAAAAGCTTTGTACTTTGTTAACCAATCAACGACTGTGAAAAATGATGCGGTTTCGGTGGTTAAATAAATATTGCATTTTGGATAAAAAAGACATAAAAATGAACAGGTTTCATTTCCTCAATTCAATCTTTAAAATGTTAAATGCAAAGAAGCAAAAAAGTTTTTGAATGAAATTGGAAGCTCATTAAATGTAGGGAATATAATTAGATCATGTTTAAGAAAGAGAAATAATATTAATGGAAAATGCAACATTCTGTATAGGAGCTGGTCATAAAAGGAACTTTACTAAAGAAACAGAAAACAAAGCTTGCCGTAAAAAATGATGCCACAAGATAAAAATAAACAAAAACTGCGGATCTGTGAAATTCATGAACTCAGTAGAAAAAGATGTTAACACAACATGCGCGTTTTTCATGGATGTGTTACAATTTATTAGCAGACACCCTTTTTCATACCGTAACAATTGCTGCTATAACAAATGGATTATATAAATAATAGCGTCGGGACCCCTATGTGTTTGATGTATCCAAGCCGGCCTGATGAGCTCTCTCAATGAACCGCATCGTTGGAAATGGATGTGATGGACAAAGTGTGGTTGAAATACTATTATACTCTCTTCTTCTCGACAAAATATTAAAGGACCGAATAAGGAGTGTAGTGTTTAAATGCACAATCAGCTTAATACAAATATAATTAGTTATTCCTTCTTTTTAGTTTGTTATATCATTTAAAAGCGAATGTTAGTCTCCTTGGTGGGTCAGCGGTAAGTTTACGGACGTTCATTTTCCCGCGGTGATCAAGAGTGCAGATAGCCCATTGTGTAGCTTTGCATTAAGAAAACAACAACAAGAGAATGTTAACACAACATATCTGTTTTTTCATGGAATTTGGTATAGCGTAGTTAACACGCTTCTCACGTGTTTTTCGTTTCGTTAGAACACATGACGAGTATCTTAATACAACTTGTACGTTTGTACAGTTTATTATCAGGCATACTACGTGTATGTTTTGTTACATCAATTTATCAGAACGTTAACGCAATCTGTACGCTTTTTGTGTGTGTGTGAAATGTGTTACAGTGTTTTAGTAGGCATCGCATGAATGTTTTGTTTTATGACATTAATACAACGTATTAACAGGTATTCCATGCATATTTCAACTAAGAAACGTATTTTGCACTGTTTGGTGATCTTTGAGTGATAAATTACGCAGTGTATTTACTAAAGAAACCCCCATAAAACTTTATTTTTCATACAATGTGCATCTTTCTAGGAGGACTTTAACATTTCCTTTCCTGGCATAAACACATTGGATACGACAAAAAGATCTAGAGCTTAACAGTTGTACAAAGTGCTTGAACAGTTTTCTTCCACAGCACGTAAACGATACGTAGATAATTTTTAGCCGATGATGTGCGTCGGCAACAATACAACCTGTCAATACTAACAAAACAAGTCGTATGCTTGAAAATGCACTACGATAAAATTAATAACAAATGAATATATTAGCTGTAAGAGAACGTAAAAAAGCGGTGATCGTTTTGGCCAAACAACCTTTATTGGTCAGTAAAAACTGGTGAGCATTTTAGTCAAACGACCTCTGCTGGCATCTAAATTCCTTGGCTTAATTGTTAACCAGTTTGACCGACAAAGGTTGTCTGATCACTTATTAGTACCTGTTGTTGTTTTAACGCAAAACTACACAATGGGCCACCTGCGTTCTACTCATCGCAGGAATCTAATCCCGGATTCTAGCATCGTAATCCTCTAAACTTACCGCTGACTTACCAGGAATCTGCTAGTATCTGTTGTTATTGTTTTAACGCAAAACTACCTATTGGGCTGTCTGTGTTCTGTCCACCGCAGAAATCTAACCTCCGGATTCTAACATCGTAATCCTGTAAACTTACCGCTGACTTACCAGGAATCTGTTAGTATCTGTTGTTATTGTTCTAGCGGAAAACTACTTAGTGGGCTGTCTGTGTTCTGTCCACCGTAGATATCGAGCCCCGGATTCTAGTATCGTAAGTCCGTAAACTTACCGCTGACTTACCAGGGGACTATTAATATCTGTTGCTTTAGCTTTAACATACGTTTTTGCACCTTTTGATATCAAATTATTCCTAAGCTGTGGCCGAGTTTATTTCATATTTGTGTTCCAGGTTCCAAATTCGTATAATATATTATGTTGTACAAGGTTTATTTAACGTTTCCCTTTTCTTTGTGTTACTTTTCTTCTAGTGTTTAGAAACAATAAAGTAATTCCAACTGACAATAGTTGTTCCAAGGTACGCATCAGGACCATTCTGAGATACGTACACAGAATAACAGGTATTTGTTGACATTTTAGTTAAAAGCTGAACTATTCCTCTAAGATACGAGAACAATTTGAAGAAGTTAGTTGTGAGTCAGACCATTAGCAAACTATACGGTTAACAAGTCAAGAGAGTGTACTTTACTTTCTTAGGAAAGTGATAAAAGTTTCAGATTTTTTTTTACTTTGATGAACTAAAGAAAACTGGAGTCCTAACTTGGAAGAAACTTAAGTAAGAAAATCAAAAACATAAGAATGTAAAAAAAAACGTGAAATCATGTTTCTTATTTACACGATTATTTGAATCAAATTATAATCTCTCATTTATAGGTAGGAATATCTAAAAAAACCCTTTTCTTATGGAAAAACACGAAATAAAAAAAGCGTTGAAAAGTAAAAGAAGCTAGTTAAGTAAAAGGGGGTTTGGTAAACAGAGTGAGGTTAGATTATTGGTACAACCAGTTAAGAAGATCCATAGTACGAAAAAGGTAAGATTATTTGACCAATAAAGTTGTAAATGAAACCTTTATAGACTGAGACTCATCACGAGCTGTTTATAACAAATATAACTTCTGTTTTCCCAAACTAATACTTAATAATAAGTTTATAAAACATGATATATTTAGTTAATTATCTTGTGAAAATATAAAGAAATAACATTGTAGAGCCATCTAATAAACCTAAAACAAGGACCTCCTGTATTTCAGGGAGTTGTTAAATATTTCACAAAACAGAGTCTAATACAAGGACCTTCCTGTACTTCAGGGAGTTGTTGAATAGTTCATAAAACAGCTAATCTAAAACAAGGACTTCCTGTACTTTAGGGAGTTGTTAAATATTTCACAAAAAAACAGAGTCTAATACAAGGACCTTCCTGTACTTCAGGGAGTTGTTGAATAGTTCATGAAACAGATAATATAAAACAAGGACCTTCCTGTACCGTAGGAAATTGTTTTAAGACCTTACTAGTCTAACAATTGTGAAGAAGTAGCACCTGGACTAAAATATTTGGACAAATACAAAAATAATGGTTTTAATAATGAAAGAAAACAATATCGTTTTTAAGAATTAGTTAAAAACCTCAGTTAATAGAACTAACTATCAGAAGACTTTAAATTAGTGAAACTAGTTTCGACACATTAATACGTCTTCTTTAATGTTGCATAGTTTCTCTATTTCTGATAGTCGTTTTTCCTATTTACTTTAGAGATGTCTCTGATCCTCGAACTGAGAAGCTTGTCTCTTTCTTAACCCTTTTAAATACGTTAAGACAGTAATAAAGCCAACGCCTTCAAACTACTAAATGTGTCAGTGATTCAGTTTACGATTTTTAATATCTATCGTCGACAACACTGACTACAGAATATGAAAAGAAGAGGGATAAGAATGAAGACACATATAGCAAGTATTATGTTACATTTAATTCAGTTACTCCAAAGAAAATAAGCTCTCCCAACATCAGCACGGTCTCTCAAAAGCGTAACCATAATGTAACGTTCTTAACGGTCAGTAACAGTGACTGGTAGGGGGTTTGACTGCAAGTCTCTTTCTATGATCGCATCCTACTAGCATCATTTATTGTTCATTCTATCTATATCAGTATTAAGTCTCTTGTAGAAACAAGTGGTTTATAACAATTTAACATAATTCGTATTACTTGGTTACTTGGGTAATGAAAATAGGTTTATTTTGTTTTTAATTTCACGCAAAGCTACACGAGGACTATCTGCGCTAGTCGTCCCTAATTTAGCAGTGAAAAACTAGAGGGGAGGCAGATAATCATCAACAACCACCACCAATTCTTTTACCAACGAATAGTGAGATTGGTCGTCACATTATAACGCCTCCACGGCTGAAAGGGTGAGCATGTTTGGTGTGAAGGGGGATATGAACCCGCGACCCTGAAGTTGCGAGTCGAGCGCTATAACCACCACCGTGAAAATAGGTTTAAAACTGTTTCATTAGGTTTTTCTACTTATTAAGCTACCTGACAAAAGCTGGGTTGTTTTCTTTCTTTCTCTGTCAGTACATCAAAAAATTAGTTCAGAAGGTGGGTATATATCTTGAAAAATATAAACGTAGAAACAGTTACTAAAATTAAGAAACGTGTGATTAATATATGACTAATATTTCCTATAATCTTTTGAAATGAAACTTGTGATTTATTTTCTTACCTCCTTGCTTGGTGTCAAGACTAAAATAAAGAAGCGAACCTCGTGAGACGTACGGCCCATGTTTGCTGGAGTCTTCAATCGAGCTATGGCCACGTGTCTTCTCTGCAGCGAGGGAAGGTTACACCTGAAGATAAACATGTGATAACGGTTCGTTAAGTATGAGCGACTTAAAGTAAAGACGGGATCTGCATTTTACAGCACAAGAGAATAAATAGGTGAGAAATCGTTGTGGATATAACTGTTATGCTTCTATTAATACTGAAAAACTAGGGTGAAGGTTAGCACGGACTTCAGTAGGCTCACAAAAAATAATGGAATAATATAAAAAGTACTAATATTCATGTATTGTAACCACGATTCTTTTTTTAGCAAAATATGTAGGAATAGTGCAAAGATTATTATTATTCAGATATTTTAACTACCATTCCTCTCTTAGAAAAACAGATTTTGGAATAGTAGGAAAAGTACTAATATTCAAGCATTGTAACCACGATCCTTTTTTTTTTTAAGAAAAAGAATTAGGAATAGTACAAAAAAGTATTATTATTCAGGTATTCTAACCTCCATTCTTCTCTTAGAAAAATATGTAGGAATAGTACAAAAATTAGTACTAGTCAAGTATTGTAACCACGATTCTACCCCTTAGAAAACGTGGTATGAATGGTACAAAACGTACAATTTTTCAGGTACTGTAACCATGTTACTTCTTAAGGTTTATTAACATTCCTTGAATTGTTTTAAAACCAATTTTGAAGTCGATATTAAATTTGGGAAATTTTTAAGAATTCAATATTGTTCTAGAAAAATCTTTGCATTATTTTGTGTATTGTATTCTCTTATTTAGTCTCGCGTAAGCTGTTATTTAGTCTTATTTGGTCTCGCGTAAGCTGTTATTTAGTCTTATTTGGTCTCGCGTAAGCTGTTATTTAGTCTTATTTGGTCTCGCGTAAGCTGTTATTTAGTCTTATTTAGTCTCGCGTAAGCTGTTATTTAGTCTTATTTAGTCTCGCGTAAGCTGTTATTTAGTCTTATTTGGTCTCGCGTAAGCTGTTATTTATAATTTCTAATCTATTAGGAAATGTTAATTAGTCTACCTTTGTAAACAAACATCTGTCTCCTAGTAGGAATTATATCTAGTATGACTTAACATGTAAAATCTGTAACTTAGTGTATATTTAGTATGACTTAACCTGTAAAATCTGTAACTTAGTGTATATTTAGTATGACTTAACTTGTAGAATCTGTAACTTAGTGTATATTTAGCATGACTTAACCTATAAAATCTGTAACTTAGTGTATATTTAGTATGACTTAACCTATAGAATCTGTAACTTAGTGTTTATGATGTTGTTCACTCTTCGTTTTCCTTTATGCCTCATAAAGACGAGTATTTTCAAACGGATTCGTGCAATTTTTCCTTATTTTATTTTACACCACAAAGACCAAGCAACAGAGAATCTTGTGGCAGCAACTTTAATTAAGTGACACGAAAGAGGTGTCGCTATTCTTATAGAATAGTCGCTCCAGTCTTTATTTTTACGAGCTATATATTTGTCTTTGTTTATTTCAGGACTTCCTCCTTGTTATAGAATTATAATACTCTTCTCAAACTGTGGTTACGGGTCTAAAAATGCTATAATAAAAGAGTCATTAATCACGATTCAGTAAAATGTAAGAAACTTTAAACGCGGGACACTTTTTGCGGTGTGTCGCGTTAATCGATTCGCGAGAACACTAGATCATACACAGCCAAGTTTCATTGCTATACGAAGCTAATGGAGGAACAAGAGTTGTATTCCTACAAATATACTCCAAATCAGGTCAGCTGCAAATACGACAACTTTGTAAACGGCCGACAAGGAACGTTCGCTTCAGTGATTCGTCGTGATTAGACTGGCATGTCACGAAACGATGTGACTGTCGTGGTGTAGAAGACAATCAGAATCGACCGGCTCAGTTTTCAGACCAAGCTCCACAACTTGGTACGGGTAGGGTTACCGTCTTCTTTCTCTTCCTCCAACGAAAGAATGGAAACGCCACAGGCTAATTCCTCACTTCTTCTTTCCACTTCGAGGTCAGATGATTTGCGCTAAATAGTTTTCCACGTTTTCACATTTACAGAAAACAAATCGAAGGTTACTTTTATATCCGAAGGTAAATCAACCTCTATTAACTAAGAGATGTCATCCAAATTCGGCTTGTGGAAGGTAATAAACTGTAGCTATAATTTACACATGGTTTAGTAACAAAGTGTGAAATACTATTTAAAATATACATCTTCCTTTCTCCGCTAATAAAAGCTGCAAACTTACTTCCATTATTTCAAATCGGGAAAAAATATACGCTATTGTTTATACGAAAACGTATTCGATGATAAAAACCGACATTATGAGCTCAATATCTGAAGGGGAAGAGCGATTTGTTTGTGTGTGTAATTAAACACAAAGCTACACAATGGGCTATCTGTGCTCTGCCCACCACGGGTATCGAAACCAGGATTCTAGCGTTGTAAGTCCGCAGACATACCCCTGTGCCACTGGGGGGCAGGGAGGAGGGCGAGAGGAGGAAAGTTACATTCAACGAACAGAAAATTACTCCATTTTTATTGGCTCGTCAGCTTCTCAGTTGATCATTCCAAGTGTTAACGCCCGACTAATATTTGAATAGAAGTTTTGGGATGACAAAATATGGTATTTTATACGCATGAAAATTACTGTTATATGCATATAGCTGAGAGGTTAGTTAGAATATGGGGTGCGCCAAAACTCATAATATTTTCAACAGGACTTTTAAGAATGGAATTTCTGTAACACATCTACAATATATGTATGACGAATGAATAAATATAGCTAGTATTTCAATTTTAGATATATATCGTCTTTCTTTGTTTGTTGTTAAGCACAAAGCTACATGATTGGCTATCTGTGCTGTTCGAAATCTGGTTGTTAGCGTTATAAGCCTTCAGAATTCCTGCTGAGCCACGGGAGGGCATATATCTTCTTTCATCATGTATGTTTACAGCCCAAGAACAAGTCGAACAAACCACTATTAGCGGGAATGATAATAACGCTAAAAAGCGTAAGTTGATCCTCTGTCAGAGTTCTGAATTTGGCAGCTGGCAAACTGGGTTTGAATCCATGCAACACCATAAAATATCCCTCACCCATTTTTTAAGCTGTGGGTGCGTTATAAGAGTGAAAGTCGATCTTTCAACGTGTTGTTAGTTGGTAGGGTGCTGTTGACTGGCTGGTCAGTAGTTCAAAATTAAAGACGGTGGCAGATAGCGTCACGAAACCACTGGTAAAAAAATCAGATGTGACAAAACTATTATCTCAAGTTATAAAAACATTTAACATCAAAATACCTGTATAAATAAAATTGAAATTACCTGACAAATTTGCAGTTTTAATCCCATTTATAAGGTAGAAAGGAAACGTGAATCCTAAGATAAAATCAAATATTTTGTGCAATTGGAGGATGAAATGTAGAGATAAAAAATAATTTTGTGTTTATTATAAATAAAAAGTGTCAAGTTAAAAAAAAGAATAATCTCGTGCTCATTAAAGGTGAAACGCATTGAGATGAAAAAATATTATGTAACAATTATAAGTGAAAATATTTGGGGTAAAAGGAGTTTTGTGCACGAGATGATAAAATCATGTTTATTATATGAATATGAGAGGATTTTATGTTCATAATAAGTATATAAAAAGAAAATTTTGTGCCTATTATAAAAAAAAACATCGTGATAGAAAGAAAAAGGTTTTGTGTTCATTACGACAGAAAACATTAATATATATTTTTTTGTTTTTTGTTGTCAAGCGCAAAGCTATACAATGAGCCATCTGTGATCTGACATCCGTGGGGATTGAGTCCTCTTACGTGATAAGCTTCCAAGCTCAACACGGAGTCACAGGCGTTAATGTTGGTGAGGAAGAAAATTAAATATTTGTAAATGTAATGAAGGGATTTTGCAGCTTTTAGTAATGAATGAAATATTTTTGACTTATTTGAGTACTTGGACGACCTTTCACTCACATGTGGGAATATTCATGTATTCCCCAACGTTTCGGTTGCACACCTTTATCAAAGGATGCAGTATAGAAATTATATTTATTATTGGTGGACACAAGATAAAATGAAGTGCATATCCACAATGAATATTTCTGAGTTGATAGTCTAGATGGATGGCAGCTAGTCAACAGCACTATCCGCCAACTCTTGGGCTACTTTTGTCTGTGAAGGGTTTTAATTTCATTGTAGGTTACAAGAACATTTTGAGGGTGAATAAAATATTTTGTGTTAATGGGCTACTCTTGTCTGTGAAGGGTTCTAATTTCATTATAGGATACAAGAACATTTTGTGGGTGAATAAAATATTTTGTTTTAACCTTAAGTGTATAAACTATTGAGGGGATATTAAAGTATTGTTTTATATGGAAATAAAACAAATTGTTTTCGTGTTATATGTAAATAAAGTTACAGACAAATATAATGCTTTGTGCTCATTATAATTCTAAACGTTTGCGTTTTTTTATTTTTCATGGCGTAGAAGAAATTGAGATAAAAAAATGTTAGTTTCTGTGTTCATTAACATTATGAAAATAAAATAAGGTTTTAGCTTAATAAATATGCAAACTGCAAGAGGTTAATCTTTCTTATCGGCAGTGGTGGCGCCAGCAACAAAAAATGCTTGGGGACAACCAAAATTTTGGGGTGCAAAACAAGTCATTTTATACTCACGTGTAAATATAAAGGGGCTCGTTATTATCCCTATATTTTAGCGTGCTAAGTTACCCTGAGCCAACGTTGGGTTTCAAAAAGTAATTTCTGTCAAGTTTTGAAGCCTAAAAGCACTCACCGACTTGGGAAAGGATCAGAAGGTTTTGACCATTCTAGCACATATAGCTTCTTTTTTTTTGGGGGGGGGGGAGAATAACAAGTCCCTTTATAAGTGAATTGATGAATAATGGTCTTTCGAGTATTACTTGATTAAATAAATACAGGAATCCCTCGATT